AATCTATTTAAACTCTTAAAAATAAAGATGTTTATGCCATGTGTTGTTGTGAGACGGTTGAAATAAGAGAGATGAGGTTCTGTGAAGATGCAGCCGGTACTTCAGCAGTTTTCTTTAAAATATTTTTTCTATTTCCAGCACCTCAACTTAAGAAACGCACGCACATCCCGCGTCATCTGCGCGTGCGCAAATCAGCTGTCCACGTTCACACGACTGGATGATAAATGATTAAACTTATTATAGATTATTCCTCCAAGTTTTCAAGTCTTTAATTTTCAAAGCTTCTCAACTAAAAAGTTGTTTCTAAACATCTCCCTCCTGCTCCCTTTGGGTCAAAGACTTCAGGCCTTGTGGGTCAGTTTGACCAAAGGACAGCAGGTGGGTTCATTAGTTAATTGTCACATTTTTGTTTTGAATATCCGAAATATGAAGCTTTATGTTGCTTTTTAAATGACTTTGCAAACATTTGACAAGAAAAATTAACCAGTCTTTACAGTTTTCTTTTTATAATTTATATGTGAAATGCTAAAAAGAGGAAGAGGATGTCAAAAAACAAACAATTTCCAGTTGAACTTTTTATATATTTGGTAAAAATATTTTCTACAACATCGTACATATGGGACTTTATTATACACAGAGTATGTACTAAGTACACACAACAAAGTTGTATTATTTTTAACAATAATATAATATAATATAATATAATATAATATAATATAATATAATATAATATACAGTAATATAATATAATATAACATAATATACTATAATAAGGATATTATATGTAATATTAAGTGTATGTACATTATAGGTAAGATACCACATACATACCCATAAAGTACCATAAACATACTTGGTAAGTACCCTGTACATAACCTGAATGTACAAGGTACATATACTCAGTACATAACGTATCGATACTAGGTATATCTGGTAGGTATCCTATAAGTAGCAATGTAATACCTCATTGGTACCATTTACATACCCAGTAAGTATAGTGCCAGGTACATGAACCATATTCAGTAATTACCAAATCCATACCAAATAGTACCAAATACATACATAGATACATACCCATAGGTACTAGGTACATATCTGGTAAGTACTCTATAGGTACCATGTATGTAACCAGTAAGTACCTCATAAGTACCAATGGTATAACCTGTATGTACCTAAAACTTATTCATTATTTACCACATCCATACGTGGTAAGTACAAGTTGTGTACCCGATAAGTACCTTAAGGTACCATGTAAATAAACTATATGTACAAGTTACATACCCAATACATTACTCATAGGTGCTAGGTACATATCTGATAAGTACCCTATAAGTACCAGATACATACCAGTAAGTTCAACCTGTACCACGCTGTACCAGGTACATTTTTATCCTGATATAAAGCAACAGTTCAGGGGTCTCATTTATAAAGGATTGCGTGGAAACCATACTAAAAGTGAACGTACGGCCAAAAGGCGGAAATGGCCTACGCCAAAAAAAATTCAGATTTATAAAACCGTACGTACGCACGTTTCTGCGCATCTTTCATTTATAAATCACAGC